ATCCCAGAAACTACAACTCCCAAATGTCAAGGTTTGTTTTCCCCAAACTCCACCAGTGCTCACATTTGGGCATATTGAGTATTTGTGACAAGTTTGGTTCAGATCCATTATTGTTTGAGTCCACAGTACTCTCTGGATGTGGGTGAACTACAACTCCAAAACCCAAGGTCCGTGCTCATCAAATCCTTCCAGTATTTTCTGTTGGTCATGGGAATTCTGACTGCCAAGTTTGATTCAGTTCCATCATTGGTGGAGTTCAGATGCTCTTTGATTGCAGGTTAACTATAAATCCCAGCAACTATACCTCCCAAATGATAAAAATCAATCCAGTCCCCGACCCCACCAGTATTCATATTTGGACGTATCAGGTATTTGTGCCAAATTTGGTCCGGTGAATGAAAATTCATTCTGAACATCAGATATTTACATTACATTTTAAACAGAGGTTGGATGGCCATCTGCCAGGGGTGCTTTGAATGCAATATTCCTGCTTCTTGGCAGGGGGTTGGACTGGATGGCCCATGAGGTTTCTTCCAACTCCAATTCATAACAGTAGCCAAAATTACAGTTACGAAGTAGAAACGAAAGTAATTTTATGGTTGGGGGTCACCACAAAATGGGGGGCTGTATTAAGGGGCCACGGCATTAAGAAGGTTGAGAACCACTATCCCTAGAATTACTCTGACTAGTAACACTAGTAACACTCTGTAACGCATTTTTTCCTTGGGTTGTCAATGTCATTTCCTCATTGGTTCTGTTGTAAAAACATGGAAAAATTTATTAAACTGCACCAAGGGGCATCCTGCAGCACATTATATTGTTATATTATGTTGTAATATTATAATAATATTTATTATTATATTAATTATTATATTATTGTTTAATATTAAACTGCGTAACACGATTTTCGTTATTAATGTCATCATTTCCTAATTGGTTCTATCATAAAAACATGCAAAAGGTTTATTAAACTCTACAATGCTTCTGACTACTTAGTAATCAATGACTAAACCCAAATCTGACTATTCTAATATTTGATGGCTAAACCCTAGAGCTACTCTGACTATTGTAGTTAGTGCTAATTATACAATTTAGGCCAGTGTTTCTCAACCTGGGGGTCTGGACACCTGGGGGGGTCGTGAGGGGGTATCAGAGGGGTCGCCAAAGCCCATCAGGAAACAACAATATTTTCTGTTGGTCATGGGGATTCTGTGTGGGAAGTTTGGCCCAATTCCAGTGTTGATGGGTTTCAGAATGCTCTTTGATTGTAGGTGAACTATAAATCCCAGCAACTTCAACTCCCAAATGTCAAGGTCTATTTTCCCCAAACTCCACCAATGTTCACATTTGGGCATATTGAGTATTCATGCCAAGTTTGGTCCAGATCCATCATTGTTTGAGTCCCCAGTGCTCTCTGGATGTAGGTGAACTACAACTCCAAAACTCAAGGTCAATCCCCACCAAACCCTTCCAGTATTTTCTGTTGGTTGTGGGAGTTCTATGTGCCAAGAGTGCTTCAATTCCATCATTGGTGGAGTTCAGAATGCTCTTTGATTATGTTGTTGTTGTTGTTCATTCGTTCAGTCGTCTCCGACTCTTCGTGACCTCATGGACCAGCCCACGCCAGAGCTCCCTGTCGGCCGTCACCATCCCCAGCTCCTTCAAGGTCAGTCCAGTCACTTCAAGGATGCCATCCATCCATCTTGCCCTTGGTCGGCCCCTCTTCCTTTTGCCTTCCACTTTCCCCAGCATAATTGTCTTCTCTAGGCTTTGCTGTCTCCTCATGATGTGGCAAAGTATTTCAACTTTGTCTCTAGTATCCTTCCCTCCAGTAAGAACTGGGCATTATTTCCTGGAGATGGACTGGTTGGATCTTCTCGCAGTCCAAGGCACTCTCAGCACTTTCCTCCAACCCACAGCTCAAAAGCATCTATCTTCCTTCGCTCAGCCTTCCCTAAGGTCCAGCTCTCACATCCGTAGGTTACTACAGGGAATACCATGGCTTTGACTAGGCGGATCTTTGTTGCCAGTGTGAAGTCTCTACTCTTTACGATTTTATCGAGACTGGACATTGCTCTCCTCCCAAGAAGTCTGCATCTGCAGTAATCTTTGCACCTAGAAATACAAAGTCTGTCAACTCCCATGTCATTACAAAATCAATGCCCTCACCCCACCCCACCAGCATTCAAATTTGGACCAGTGAATGAAAATATATCCTGCATATCAGATATCTACATTATGATTCATAACAGGAGCAAAATTACATGGTTGGGGGTCACCACAACATGAGGAACTGTATTAAGGGGTCACAGCGTTAGGAAGGTTGAGAACCACTGATTTAGGCCATTATCAGAGGCAATTAAGAAACCATAACTCACTAAATTTAGTTGGATTTACCCACATGTTGACTTACTGATCAGTTGTTGATTTCAGGTGTAATCCATGGCGTTCTGGCCATCCTGTCTCTTTGCATTTCATTTTTTTTTCTGGCTAAGTTTAGTATCTTACATTTGCCCTTGTTGAAATTCATTGTGTTCGTTTTGGGCAATCATCTCTCTCATCTGTGGAGGTCCCTTTGAATCCTGATCCTGTCCTCTGGAGTATTTGCTCTCCCTCCCAATTTGGTCCCAATCTCCAAACTTGATAAGAAGCACACCCTCTAAACCAATGGTTCTCAACCTTCCTAATGCCGCGACCCTTTAATACAGTTCCTCATGTTGTGGTGACCCTCAACCATAAAATTATTTTTGTTACTACTTCCTAACTATAATTTTGCTACTGTTATCAATCCTAAACGTCAATATCTGATATGCCGGATGTATTATCATTCACGGAGCCCCTGGTGGCGCAGTGGGTTAAACCCCTGTGCCAGCAGGACTGAAGACCCGACAGGTCGTAGGTTCAAATCTGGGGAGAGGCGGATGAGCTCCCTCTATCAGCTCCAGCTCCTCATGTGGGGACATGAGAGAAGCCTCCCACAAGGATGATAAAACATCAAATCATCCGGGCGTCCCCTGGGCAACGTCCTTACAGACGGCCAAGTCTCTCACAACAGAAGCGACTTGCAGTTTCTCAAAACACAACAAAAAAAATTATCATTCACTGGACCACATTTGACACAAATACCCAATACACCCACATTTGAATACTGGTGGGGTTTGTGGGGGGTTGATTTTGTCATTTAGGAGTTGTAGTTGCTGGGATTTATAATTCACCTACAATCAAAGAGCATTCTGAACTCCACCAATGATGGAATTGAACCAAACTTGGCACACAGAACTCCCACGAACAATAGAAAATACTGCAAGAGTTTAGTGGGCATTGACCCTGAGTTTTAGAATTATAGTTCACCTACTTCCAGAGAGCACTGTGGACTCAAACAATGATGGATCAGGACCAAACTTGGCATGAATACTCAATATGCCCAAATGTGAACAGATTTTGGGGGAAATAGACCTTTACATTTGGGAGTTGTAGTTGCTGGGATATATAGTTCAACTACAATCGAAGAGCATTCTGAACCCCATCAACAATTTAATGAAGCCAAACTTTCCACACAGAACCCCATGATCAACAGAAAATACTATGTTTTCTGATGGTCTTTGGCGACCCCCCTGACACCCCCTCACGATCCCCTCAGGGGTCCCGACCCCCCTGGTTGAAAAACGCTGTATTAAAGGGTTGTGGCATTAGGAAGGTTGAGAACCACTGCTCTAAACCTTCATCCAAATCATTAATAGAGATCCTAAACAGAATTGGGCCCAGGACTGAACCCTCTTCATGGTACCAAATAGTCACTTCATTCCAGGATGGAGAATCATTTGGGGGAAAGCTCCTTTTGGGTTCAGTTGCTGAACCAATTCAGATCCACCTCATAGTAGCCTTGCCTTACCCACATTGGACTACATTGCTTCCAGAAGGCCATGGGGGAATTTGTCGAAGGCCTTCCTGAAATCAAGACCACAGCAGTCCCTGCATCTACCAAGCTTGTAAAAAAAAAAAAAAAAAGAGATAAGATTACATATGGTTCAATTGACAAAAAACAAAAATGTAAAAGTGATTATATGACTAGGACAAAAACGAAAGATTACGCCTCACTAGATCACAATCTGAATTTAGCGTGTGTGCTGGTACGGCTGTACCAGAAGCTTCAGCTTTATTTGCTTTGTATCAAATGTTTGCTTGCAGTCAGGGATTCTGCAGAAAGGTGGCTTCCTTTGGTTGCAGTCATAGGGCAAGTCACCTGTCCATCATCGTTAAGTTTTGGTCCCGCCCCTTGCTCAGGGCAATTGGGAAGGGAAGGGAGCCATTTTTAGTTAGTCTCAGCGAGGAAAGCTATGTACAGGATGTGTGCAAGCTTCCCCTGTACAAAAGCTTCAACTTTTAAGAATTTCCAGGGAAGCATCCCCAAAGCTTTGAAGACTTTCCGGGGGAGAACAGCCCTAAAGATCAAAGAACTCCAGCTGAATAGACTACAGGCCTTGCTGGTAGGTCCACTCGGTGCTTTGAGACGCAGTTCAACCCGGTAGTGGTGCCCACATCAGTTAGGTTTAAGTTAACAGTCAGCCTGGGAGAAGTTAAAAAGGGGATTTTTCATTTAAAGTAAAGAAGAAGTTATTGAAGAGAGTTGCCTGTCCTTCGTGGACAAGATTAGGAAGTCACCAGTTGCTTAAAGCCTGGAAGCATTTGTTTAACCCTTTGAAGACAAGAGAAGTTTCTGTTTGATTGTTCATTAATAAAAGACTTTGTTATATTTCACAAGCCATCTAAAAGTCATTTGTGGTGGAAAACCTCTGAGAACTTCTCCTTGGGCCCCCTGGCTTCCCGCTGGGCAAAGGTTGCATATCCTGTTTTAAGGACAATTCTTTACAGGCCCAGCGCACAACAGAACAGCGTGATTGTGCTCTTATTGCTTCCACGAGAAATGTTATACAAGTGTCTGGTTGTGTCCAGAAGGGAGGCCTTGATTGTTCTCTTCTTTCCTGGATGTTTTTTTGCAGCCTGATGTGGATAAGGCCGTGGAGGCAGCAAAGGCGGCTTTCCAAAGAGGATCCCCGTGGAGGCAAACGGACGCTGTGAGCCGAGGAAGGCTTCTCAACAAACTGGCTGATCTCATTGAGCGAGACCGCGTGCTGCTCGCTGTAAGTGAAGGAGGCACGTGGGACAGAGATAGCAGGAGAGTGGTCATGTTTAGCAATTTCTTGGTTCTACTTTGATGGAGCACGGCATACAAAACCTTCACTTTGAGAATTTCTGCAACAGGCATGGGCCGACTTCGGCCCTCTCTCTAGACATTTTGGACTCCAACTCCTACAATCCCTTACAGTCTATGGGCTGCTAGAAATTATGGGAGTTGGAGTCCAGAATTGACCCATGCCTGCTGTACAATATTCAGCATTAAACAGGTAAGGTACAACTGTGAAGATTTATGAATCCAATAGTTTGTTTGCTATCTGTTATCTATTCATTTGTTGTCTGTCTGTCTGTCATCTACCTATCTATCTATTGATCTGTCCATCATCTATCTGTCTGTCATTTATCTATCAATTATTCATCTATAATTCTATCTACTAGCTGTCTTTTAATCTCTCTATCTACTTATAATCTCCTATTTATCTATCTGCCATATGTCTGTTAATCCGTTATCTACCTATCTATTGATTTGTCCATCTATCTATCACTGTGTTTCTCATCCTGGGGGTCGGAACCCCTGGGGGGATTGTGAGGGGGTGTCAAAGGGGTCACCAAAGACCATCAGAAAACACAGTATTTTCTGTTGGTCATGGCAGTTCTGTGTGGGAAATTTGGCCCACTTCTCTTGTTGGTGGGGTTCAGAATGCTATTTGATTGTAGGCAAACTATAAATCCCTGCAACTACAACTGCCAAATTCAAGGTCTATTTTCCCCAAAGTCCACCAGTGTTCACTTTTGGGCATATTGAGTATTTGTGCCAAATATTTGTGCCAGATCCATCATTGTTTGAGTCCACAGTGCTCTCAGGATGTAAGTGAACTACAACTCCAAAACTCAAGATCCGTGCCCACCAAACCCTTCCAATACTTTCTGTCGATCATGGAAGTTTTGTGTGTCAAGTTTGGTTCAATTCCATCATTGGTGGAATTCAGAAGGCTGTTTGATTGTAGGTGAACTATGAATCTCGGCAACTACAACTCCCAAATGACAAAATCAACCCCCCACCCCCCCACCCCCCATGACTCCACCAGTATTCAAATTTGGGCATATTGGGTGTTTTTGCCAAATTTGGTCCAGTGAATGAAAATACATCCTACATATCAGATATTTACATTACGATTCATAACAGCAGTAAAGTTACAGTTATGAAGTAGCAACAAAAATCATTGTATGGTTCGTGGTCACCACAACGTGAGGAACTGTATTAAGGGGGCACGGCATTAGGAAGGTTGAGAACCACTGATCTATCATCTATCTATCTATCTGTCATTTATCTATCTATCATTCATCTATCTATCTGTTCATCATCTGTCATTTGTCTATCTATCAATTCTTCATCTGTCATTCTATCTGTCATTTAGCTATCTACCTATCTACCTATCTATCTATCTATCTATCTATCTATCCATCCATCCTACCTATCAATATACCATATGTCTGTCAATCTGTTGTCTACCTATCTGTCTATTTATCTGTCCATCATCTCTCTCTCATCTATCTATCTATCTTTCTATTTGTCAAGATAGATAGATGATGATATATTTATCTTTCTATTTGCCATCTCTCCCTCTCTCTATCATTCATCTATCTCAGTGTTTCTCAACCTGGGGGTCGGGATCCCTGTGGGGGTCACGATGGGGTGTTGGAGGGGTCGCCAAAGACCATCAGAATACACAGTATTTTCTTCTGGTCATGGGAGTTCTGTGTGGGAAGTCTGGCCCAATTCTATTGTTGGTGGGGTTCAGAATGCTCTCTGATTGCAGGTGAACTATAAATCCTAGCAATTACAACTCCCAAATGTCAAGGTCTATTTCCCCCAAACTCCCAACAGTGTCCACATTTGGGCATTTTGAGTATTCATGCCAAGTTTAGTCCAGATCTATCATTGCTTGAGTCCACAGTGCTTTCTGGAGATAGGTGAACTACAACTCCCAAACTCAAGGCCAATGCTCACCTAACCCTTTCATTATTTTTTGCTGGTCATGGGCGTTCTGTGTGCCAAGTTTGGGTCAATTCCATCTCTGGTGGAGTTCAGAATGTTCTTTGATTGTAGGTGAACTATAAATCCAGCACCTACAACTCCCTAGGTGCAGAGAATGAAAATACATCCTGCCTATCAGGTATTTACATGACGATTCATAACAGTAGCAAAATTCCAGTTATGAAGTAGCAATGAAAATAATTTTAGGGTTGGGGTCATCACAACATGAGGAACTATATAAAGAGATCGCGGCGTTAGGAAGGTTGAGAACCACTGATCTATCTATCTATCTTTCATCTACTGTTCTGTCTGTTATCTATCTGTCTGTCTTTCATTTGTCTGTCTATGGGATATATACCCCACCTTTCCCCCAATCTGGGAGAAATGTATGCCACGTATTCTACGTATTTTTCCTCTTTGTATTTTCAGAGGTAGAGAAACGCATGGTGAATTATATGTGATTCCATGGACTGGACAGGGTGTCCCTCGCGGTCTCTTCCAGCCCTGAGATTCTATAAATCCAAGTTGAGTTGTGGCAACCAGCCTTAAACACATTCAGTGGAATGAATGTCCCTTGCACCTTTAATTCCTTATGTCATTCCTCTGACATAAATAGCAACCTGTGGCCATTTATTGCTTCCACCAATAGAAATCCTATTAGGGATAAGACCAGATCAATCACTCTCCCTTTGGTATGGAAAAAAAAAAGAAAGAAAGCCGAATGCCTTCTTGTTTGCCTCACTTTAGACTCTTGAGACCATGGACACAGGGAAGCCATTTCTCCAAGCTTTCTTCATTGACTTAGAAGGCTGCATCAAGACGCTGAGATACTACGCCGGGTGGGCTGACAAAATCCAAGGAAAGACCATTCCAGTGGGTAAGTTGGACTTCAAGGTACGTCAGGTCAAACTGTGTTTCTGCAGGCCTGGCTCTATCCCAGGCATGGACCAACTTGGGCCCTCCCTCCCGCCAGATGTTTTGGACTCCAACTCCCACCATTCCTAACAGTCTCATCCGCCTTCCTATTCTCCCTCAGTTGCTTCAGTGGAAAAGGAAGGGAAAATGAAGGGGCCTGAGGCTGTGAGGAATTGTGAAGTCTATAGTAGTAGTAGTAGTAATATACTTTATGTATATTCCGCTCTATCTTCCTGAGGGGACTCAGAGAAACATATGTGGCAAACATTCAGTGCTGTTATACAACTGACAAAGACAGACAATACATAGACAGAGGCAAGGCTTCCCTCTTTTTCATCTCTGGCATCCGGAGGCTGTGCTCAACTCCAGCCATGGGGAGGTGCTGTTGTTCCATTTGTCCATGCCGAGGAATCTATTGCCCATGGATGCCTTCCTGATTGAATTACCGGCATGTCTGCATGGGCGCCTTTTACCTCCCTGCCAGAGTGGTACCTATTGATCTACTCACATATGGAGCCCCCGGTGGCGCAGTGGGTTAAACCCCTGTGCCGGCAGGACTGAAGACCGACAGGTCGCAGGTTCGAATCCAGGGAGAGGCGGATGAGCTCCCTCTATCAGCTCCAGCTCCTCATACAGGGACATGAGAGAAACCTCCCACAAGGATGAGCTACTCACATCACTGTTTTCGAACTGGTAGAAGCTAGCACTGTGTCGCGCTTTAATTTCCCAATTCAGCAGCAGATCCGTTGCACAACTTCAGCGCTTTCCAGTAGCTTCTTCCTGCACAGTATTTTCAGTCAACTGCTCCCACAAACTGCAGTCACTCTGAAACTCTTTACAGGCACTTGAGCACATGCCCGGCCATTGTCAGTTTTACTATTGTTTTCCCCTCCAATCTAGATGACACTACAAACTTACCACAGCACACGGTTATATCTTGTCTTAGCAGACAGGTTCCTTTAATAAATTACACAGAGCCTTCGGCAAACAGCATCACAGCACAAGGAGAGAAAATACACTGTACATGACTTCCTTATATACAATTCATTTACACATAGCAATCTCTGATTGGTTCCCAACTCATTAACTTAACTCAGACCCAGGATTACATCATTCACAATCACCTGGACTAGGCCAGAACACATTCCCCAAATGAAGTTCTATATACAGTTAATGAATGACTCAGCATTTCCAATAGAAGCCTATTAGCAGTGCATGACTCAGCTATTACATTACAATACATTGTAAAACCTGAAATGGCTGACAGCGTGAGCTCACCCTGAACTGTGGCTTGGACTGCAAACCTTCTAATCGGCAAGATTTACTGCAGCTGGTTGTTTAACCTGCTGTGCTAACCACGGCCCATTGTCCGTGGCTCCAAAACACCTGGAGGGCCAAAGTTTGCCCATGCCCATTTTAGTGTCATGGTTAAAGACGGCCTGGCTGTTTAGGGACAACTCTTATAGAATCATAGAATCAAAGAGTTGGAAGAGACCTCATGGGCCATCCAGTCCAACCCCATTCTGCCAAGAAGCAGGAATATTGCATTCAAATCACCCCTGACAGATGGCCATCCAGCCTCTGTTTAAAAGCTTCCATTCCTCCCATTCCATTGTGATCCTAGCTTTCTGCTAAACCAGAATGGTATCTATTTTTACATACATCACTTCGAAGTGCTTCTGTGAGCCGCCTCGCCCTTTCGGGGAGATGGTGATGGGGTATAAATAAAATGTATTTATTAGGAGCCCCCAGTGGCACAGTGGGTTAAACCCCTGTGCCGGCAGGACTGAAGACCGACAGGTCACAGGTTCGAATCTGGGGAGAGATGCATGAGCTCCCTCTATCAGCTCCAGTTCCTCATGCGGGGACATGAGAGAAGCCTCCCACAAGGATGATAAAACATCAAAACATCCGGGTGTCCCCTGGGCAACGTCCTTGCAGACGGCCAATTCTCTCACACCAGAAGCGACTTGCAGTTTCTCAAGTCGCTCCTGACACGACAAAAAAAATAAATTATTCTCAATTCAAGGGGAGCTACATCAAGTATGCAACTCACCCCATTTCCTTCCCTTTTTTAATTCATTGCTGAGCTTTAATTGTTGGGTAACTTATATTCTGAATTCTCTTGCAGACGACAATTATGTCTGTTTTACCAGGCATGAGCCGGTAGGAGTTTGCGGGGCCATCACACCTGTGAGTACAGTGTTCTGTTTTCCGCATGGTAATAGGAACCTATCTCTCTCTTTCCAGGCAGTTTTAATGATACATTTTGAACTTCCACTGTACGCCTTATTTTTGTTTTGTGCATTTCAATATGTCTTGTATGGAAATATGTTTTAATGCATGTATTTTGTAGAGTGTTTTGAAATGATGACGCATTTGTTTACGTTTTAGTAATGCTGAAACCTGCCTCAAGCCACAGGAGGAGAGGGTCATTCCCGTCATTCCCAACAAAAAATATTCTGCTTTGAATTCAGAATTTAGCTGAATAATTTCTCCTAATTTTCTATAGACTTAATACCAGAACTTTTTGACCACTTTACAGTCCCACCACATATGCCTAAACGTACCCACTTTTTTCTCACATCTCCAGCGTTTTTATTGATCTTACCCTTACTATATTTAGCGAGCTTTTCTGGAGTGTGTTACCATAAATAGAACATTTTAAACCAATTTTCTTTCATCTCTGACGCATATGCGTATTTCAATTTCCTTGACCAGACCTCCTCCCATTCCACCATGGTAATCGTATGTCCTGCTATTTTTGCCCATTTAATCATTACTACTTTTACTTCCTAGTGGAGTAATTTTAAACAGAGGCTGCATGGCCATCTCATAGCATCATAGCATCATTGGAAGAGACTGTATGGCCGTCTAGACCAGTGTTTCTCAACCTGGGGGTCGGGACCCCTGAGGGGGTCGCGAGAGGGTTTCAGGAGGGTCGCCAAAGACCATCAGAAAACACACATTTCTGATGGTCTTAGGAACCCTTTTGGCAGAGAAGGCAGAATATCTCTCTGCCTGTCCTTCTCTTTCTTTTTGGTGTTGGTGAACTACAACTCCCAGAATTCAAAAACAGCCCCTCCCCAACCCCACTAGTAATCAGTGTTGGCCATGTAGGTAGCATGCCAAGTTTAGTACAGATCCCTTATGGGGTGGATTCAGAATGCTCTTTGATTGTAGATTAACTATAAATACCAGCAACTTCAACTGCCAAATGCCAAGGTCTATTTTTCCCAAACTTTGGGCGTATTGAGTATTCATGCCAAGTTTGGTCCAGATCCA